CAGAGAGAACTCCACCCACTGGCCCAGACCAAAGGCAGCCCAGTGACCCCGTACTGCCAGTTACACACCTCTGTCCTCACTGGACAATCAGTGTCTGCAGTCAAAGTCAGCTCAACTAGATCTTCCACCCCAACTATGTCATGATAGTTTCAGACAGTGTTATCTCCAATTTAGGCAAAAGATTTTGTAGAGGGACAGTTTCCTTTGATAAATCAGTCAAAAAGTAATCAAAGATATATGTTCAAGGAAAACATGTTAACATTTAAAATACAGCAACCAAAGAGAGCACTTAGGATGCTTGCCATCCCTCCTCCAAGATCCTAGAAATGTCCAAAGAGGCCAGGAGAAAGTAACATAAGAATACATAAAGCTCATAGCCATATGTATAGACCCTTGAACTTATGAGAGCCTAAATTTACAGGAAAAATTCTTGCTGCTCCTCAGAGACTTGCAAGTATATGAGCATCATCTGTCAAGGGCTGATTCAAACCTGCACCTTGAGATCTTTGCAGCAGCTCTAGGTTCAGGAGGAAGGACCCGAATCCTCCTCCAAGGGGCTCCCCAACCAGCTGCAGAGCAGCTCTGATGCTGAGAAACATCAGAAGAAGAGTACCAAGTGCTACATTCTATTCTCCACTTAGCAAGTGTTTGTGGAGGGCTTAGCACGAGCCAGGCTGCAAGTCCTGCAATAAAAGAGTAAGAAATTAAGTGAAAAGTATAAGCAAGGACCACATCACAAGGGCTGCCTGTGGCATGGGAGGTACAATATTTGCACTTTATGTTAAAGGTAGGAGGGAGCCCATGAAGAGCTTTGAGCCGGAGAGTGAATTGGGTAGATTTACATTCTGGAAAAACTCCTGAACAGCTGTGTCAACAGCTGCTAGATTGGGACCAAGTGCTACACTGGATGGCACTACCTACAATCCTTCAAGAAATTATTTACATTGCTTGTTGATACTCAGGATAATACAGTAAAAAGAAGATGAGTTTTTTAGTCAAGCAGAGTTAGGTTTCAATCCCATTCTCATTTAATCTCATTTCTCAATGATGGTTAAGTCTCTCTGGCAAGTTATTTAAATAAGTCTGAAGTCTTTGTTTCCTTTCTGCACAATGAAGGTAATGATACTTAGCCCATACACTGTGATAATAAGGAAAATGATGTGCCTGGATATTTCAGATAATTTTTCTATTAGATATTGTTGCCTCTTTATCTTTGAATTTTACTAGGGTATTTTGTGACAACAATTTGACCATAATTGGCATTTGTAGTTTGTTAATACGGAAGGCAAGGTAAACTGAGGTCAAAGCTAAATCTGGGATCTGAATCAAACTACCCAAAAACAATAGTGTGGACAATTAAACTTGATTACAAAGACCAATGTTATGGAGTGAGAGCTCCCATTGTCCTAGCAACCTTTTAACCAAACACTGGTGTAGATTTACTGGCATATTTGACAGAGAGCACATCTGGGCTTTCTATTATCCTCTGCAAGCAAAAAATGATGTCGTGTAAACTGATCTTCAGGCCAATTATATGGTCTAAGTGTTATAGTGTTTGTGTTGGCGCGGCTGGCTCCAGGTTTTAAGAACTTAATTTTAGCCACACCCCTCCTATGAAGACTGTGTCTTACTGTAAACTGCCCCAGGGTTGCATTTTTGCTGAGTCTGCACCATTTTTTTCAGGACGATAAGTACTTGTGAATGTATCACTGATTAATTGCATGTGCAAAGCACTATGGGAGGTCCTGTAAGAAATAAATTGCAGGAGTTCTGTAGCAACAGGAGGAAAGAAAGCGAGGCACAGGAAAGCGGGCTCTAAGGTGATACGTCAGTCACATGCCACGCTACCTTTTTTTGTAATCTTAATTACAGATTTCATTACAGAGGCCAGATATGGAGTGTAGTCTGCATTCCACTCAGACAGCAATAAACCAGAGGTCAGAGCACCTGACACTACCTCTAGCTGGCAGTCTACTGTAGAAAAGATCATTAGTGTGTCTGAGCACCTGTTTCCCTGTCTAGAGAGACAACATTAGACTCAGACATGTTTACCAAACATCATGAGCCAGACACTGGTCCAGACCCATCACCAACATGATTAAGGGAATTTTCATAGTGCCTGTAAGTGGAAGGTGGCATGATGACCCCACTGTCACACTGTAGGCTTCCCTCCGAGGAAGAGAGACAGACGCTCTGAACATGCCCCTTTCTGCCCCTCTAGCTGTTCATGGGAGCTCTAGGCTGCTGCCCTCCACTGGGTGGACCTGGGTGGCGGTCTGTGATAGACCACAGATCTGAGGGTACAGACCTGGGGTGTTTCTGCAGGAAAGTGTTTCCTAGCCGTTCCCCTACTCCCCAGTCCCCCACTGCCTTGTCATCTGATCTTCAACTGATAGATATGACGTCATCGTCCATTCTGCGGGTCCTTTCAGACCTTTGGGGGAATTCTACTGTGGGTTATGAATAGAAATATTGTCAGAAGAAGGCTGGAGCTCCTGGTCCTGACTGTGGCCACAACACCCTGTGGCACAGACAGCAGAATCTCAGCTGCATGGAACGAGTTTATGGGTTTCTGGACTAATTAGCCTCCTGTCTTAGTCAGCCGAGTGCCCAGCTGTAAAGGAAATCTGAAGTCAAATAGGGTCCTTCGCCCCTGCACCGGCAGGTCTCTGCCCAAGTTCAGAATTCCCCTTCTTCTTTAAAGACAACAAATCTCTTGAGCCTCCTGGTTCGAGTCAGATGTCTAAAAATGAAGGGCAAAATAGGCTGTACAGTAGATCCCAACTCTAAGCTGTCATTACAGGAATTTATCACAGATGGCAACCAGCAGGCTAGAACATCTTGAAGGAAAAAGGTTTCTTCAGCATCATAAGTAAACTGGGACCAAGGCTTAGATTTACAAAGCCATAAAAGAAAGCTGCTTGGATGAATGGGCATTTTCAAGTAGTGGGTTACAAAATCTACATAAACTCTGAAAGCTGGCCCCTGTGCTAGAAATTTTGAGAGACAGAGAGATCATGATAACTTATTTCTGTTGCTAGAGAACTCCCCATCGGAACATGACAAGGTTAGGTCCAGGTTGAAATGCAGACTCGGATGCTGGGGTGCTGAGTTCGATACCAGGCCCCATCTTTCCTAAACTAAGGTTTGTGCAGTCCAGTCACAAACATGCTCCCTGAGCAATGCAGTCTTGTAAAAGGATTTTTAGGTCATTGTTCTGGCTGCCTAAGTCCCTACTTTTTCCCAAGCAGCTTCAAACAACTCCATTTTAACCCAGAGTGTCCTGACCAATGGAAGCAGCCTAGGAGGCTTTGGGTTGTGGGACAGCATAATACAAGACAAGACCACTGCCTTCCAGAAATTTCTCAGCTGGCCAGGGAGGCAAGGCATTTACAGATAAAACAACTGAGTGCACAAACTACAGTGCACGGAAGTGCAGGTGGTCCCTGGAGAACTCAGGGATCTAAGGGTAAGTCGAGGCCAGAGTGATCAAGAGAAGATCAGTGTAGGACACGGAACTTGGCACATGTCTTGAGGGATCAGTGGGGAGGTGTGATGGCTCCATCATCCCCCACCACTGAGCCAAGTCTCAAATCACACAGCCACATTTCCCTTTTGTCCTAGAGACAGTTATTTCTTAGATTCCACAGGTTTCCCCTACAAGCCGTTCCCAAAAGACTGAAAAAGGAAAACCAGCCTCTCTGGACAGTTCCCACTCAGGTTAGACCCCGCGGGGATGGACACCCAGCCTCAGGTCACCGCCAGGAGCAGCCTCACACCCCAGTCCCAGGCCCCTGGCTGGGGAATCTGCAGACAACCAAGACACACAAGAGACAGCAGTAAGATGCCCCAGAGGCCTGGGAAACTGAGGGAGACCAGAAGTCCACAGGGTGGCCACACCCTACCCTGCTTTGGAGAGAAGGTCTCCTGGGAAGGCTAGAAGAAGAGTATGGAGACGGCCCGTCCCTCACAGAAGGAGTGTTGGGTAGAAGACTTTGAGTGGCTGGGGGAGGAGGGAGGGAGGAGGCGGAAAGACAGGACTGCAGAGCGGCTTCAAACCCGGACTTTCAGGAATCTGCCGCCCGGGTTCCAGGGTCTCTCCACACTGTCCAGTTCAGGCTACATGGAGAGGGAGAAAAGCTGAACTCAGGATACATACTTGAGGGCAACAAAATGCCCTCAAACTGGGTTTCTTAAGAACATAAAAGGACCTGGACAGGTGCAGAGCATCTGTGACTCCCGAGCCCAGACCAAGGGCAGGATAAACTGATACAGAACCTGCACCCCAAGGAGAAAGTTAGATAGACTGATAGACTCGTGTCTTCTCACCTCGGCGGGGAGAGCTGCCTCCCTGATTCCCTGCTGGCACCTGGGGGTAAGGACATCAGAGGAGCATGTTGGAGACAGATGCACGAAAGCCCCTGAAGAGCATACTTTCTGTGAAAATTCAGGTTGCAAACTGCTTCATCATCCTGGCTGTATAAGATAGCAGTTCACAGCACCAACCTTCTCCTGCTGCCAGGAGTGTGGTTAAAACAAGTCACTTTTATTTCTAAGCATTGAGAACCCCACCTCAGAAACCAATGTACTATAGCAGGACAGATAGGTGTTCTGGGGGAGGGGGGTTGTGTGGCCTTGCAGAATGGACTTTGCTCAGCCTCAACTTCCTCATCTATGAAATGGGGACGCTTGGTCACCAAACCTACATGGCATGGCTGTTAGGACTAAATGTGATTACCTCTGGACACAGCTTGACCCTGCATGTCCAATTAAGGTCTTCTCCACCCTAAAGGAATTAAAGACTCTAGGAAAAAATGAACATTACTAAGTAATTTTGCAACACAGCCCTGGCAAAGGAAACAAAGCCAGTCTGGTGCCACGTTCTGCTACGTATCATCAGTGGAACGTCTGTCTTCTACTGTTCCTTCAACCCAGGCGCCACACTCCCCACCCACCCTGTCATAAGGCCATCAACTCAACATGTTCTTGTTTTTTTCTAGGGGCGCTGTATCAACTTCACCAGAGTCAAGAACACCCAGCCGGCCAAGTATCCGCTCAACAACGCCTACCACACCACCTCGCCACCCCCTGCCCCTATCTACACGCCCCCACCCCCTGCCCCCCACTGTCCTCCCCCACCCCCCAGCGCCCCCACCCCGCCTTTCCCATGCCCCCCTTCCAACCTTCCCCCTCCTCCTCAGGCTCCACCCCCCAACAGGGCACCTCCCCCGTCCCGGCCTCCTCCCAGGCCTTCTGTCTAGAGCCCAAAGTTGTGCTCTGGGCCATCTCAGAAACTGCGGAGGACACTCCTTGTGCTGTAAGAACAAGTCTGTCCAGCTAGAGGGGATGAGTGATGATTAAGCCCACTGACATTCACATACTTTAAAAATTGGTTGGCAACACCAGTATACTGACACTGTGATCAGCAGAAAGAAACAGAAATTCTTTAATTGCCTGAAAACAAATGATGAAACAACTACAGTCACGTTTATAGCCAGCCGGCCATCGCCTCTAGATGGTTCCAGAGATGATGAAATTGCCAAAATACTCTCGACAGGATTCTGTCTCACGGAGACAAGTAGGAAAACCTTTTCTCTGAGAGTGAAATGCAGTCGGGTGAGAAGTGACACTGCTCGGTTTCTAAATGCTGCCTTCCCTCCACCTCACCTCATGAACTGACCCTGGACCCTTGACCCCGAAACCAAGGATTCCTCCCCACTGTGTTCCCCTCAGGAAGGGAGAAACCTTTGCCTACAACTTGGGAAAAGCTTGGAAACCCCAGGGTGTCAAGAAACTCAACTCAGACAGGTATCCAAAGGACGTTCCTCCAGGATTTGCAGGTGTATATAAGTATATGCCTCTTTTTCCTCTCAAATCCTTCCAGTTTCCAAGTGAGGAAGGGAGCGGGTGTTTACTGATGGGTAAGGTACGTTGCCAAGTTGATGTGTAAGTGAAATCAGTCGTGTGCTTTGACAGGGAAGTGTTTAGGGGAGCATCAGACAGTTTCTCAAACCCACCGGCCATCAGCAGCTAGAGGAGGTGGCTTTGGCCAGACACAGTTCCCTAAGTCCACAGAAAGTGGCACTATCCAAGAGCAATGCTGTTAATGATTCATGCTAAAAATCAAGATTTGGCTTCGATTTAAGTCACTTGAAACGAAAAAGTGATTGGTCCTGTTTTCTAGAGACAAATATGAATTGTCCTTCCCCAAACAGTGTTAGTAACACCTATCACATGATATCACTGATTTTTTTCTGCCTTTCTTGGTAAAGGTGTATACCAGAGACATCCAGGTAGAACTGAGAGACAGTGGTCCTGACATAAAGAGAAAACTATATTCAGGTTTTTCAACATACTTACAAATAATACTGGCTGGTAAACATGGGGAAATACACAAAATGTGTGACATAAAAATGCTCTGCCTGAAATCCCAACCATGCCTAGGACCCATCCCATTCTTCCAAGTCATTCTGCATCTATTTAACTGGAAATCCCAGGAATAACTCATCAAGCCATTGGGTTTTATCACTCAAGGATATAAACAGAGATCACTGTCAAAGGCTTCCTATACCAGCCTATTCAAAATGATCTCCTCCTTCAGTTTTTCACAGGCCCAAAACTGCCTATCATAAATCCTTCAAATTCTTAAATCTTCTCTGAAACAAAGCGGAATATAAAATAGATACAAGTTTGCTGCTTTGAACGCTGATCACCAAAGGTCCCTCAAGAATCCGTCAAGCCAGGCTCACTCTCTCAACTGGCTTGGAACAGAGACGTTAGGGTATGTGGCATGAATTCCATAACACAAATTCCTATGCCCATGCAGACATTGCTAATCAACTCTAGCACAATATCTCAATTGCTCAATGAGATATTTAGATCACAGATCTAAAAACCAGTCACTCATCAGTCAGAACTGAGAGATGAACCCTAGAAAGCTAAAATAAATAGGGATTGTGTGGGGGGATGGAGAAGTCCACCAGCATAAAAGGTACAATCAGGGGAGACTAAATGTAGGAAAGTGCCCTACTGGTTGACCAGAGGCACAGAATCTGCAAGACCAACACCAGACTGACACTTCTCCAAGTGCACCTCAGGCCCTCCTCTTCTCACACAGCTGCCACTGCCTAAAAACCTCCCAGCCTTCTCATGGAGCTAAAATCAGAGATGATTTTCATGACTTACGAAAGCAGACTCCCTCGCCCTCACCCAACTCTGTTGCATTGTCTCTTTTTAGAACACTTAGGCTACTTCTTTAGAATAGTCCCTCCTGAAGCAGGGGCCAGAATGTCTCAGCCACCTACAGTGACATTGCTGGGCCCCAGAAAACCATTCCTTAGGAGAATGGGTTCCCCGGGTTCACATCACGGAGACACTGAGCCCACGGCGACTGTTTTGACTGCTGGCAGTACGAAACAGTCCACGCACACCACTGCCACGTGACTAGCGTGGCTACCAGGAAGTTGAAGCCATGATGCTGATATTGCTGTGCAAAAAGACCGCAGCATCAGGTGAGAAGGCACATTCAGGGTCTCAACAGCACATCGCTCAGATTCCCTGTGCAGTTTCCATGAGGTTGTGCGGCAGAATGTTTTGAGAAAATAGAGAACTGCAAGTATATGATGATTCTGAAAAAGATCCGCAGGGTTTGTCCTTAAAACCAACCCATCACATCATCTATACTCATTCAGAATTATAGGTAAGAAGGAGAAATCTCTATCTACTGTATGAACAAAGTAATACAGTGTGTTTTCACAGTGGGCTGTTACAGGCAAGAGAATTCTTTAACTGGTTTACAAAAATCCATCAGTTCTGTGTCATTCCCTGTAAAAGACAGAAGACATGATTGTGATCAGGAAACTGCACGAAATTATTTTTTTCAACCCCTGTGTTATTGTCCTTATGGAGTCTCTCTTTTTTATATAAAAGCCAAATTTTTGTTGTATATATTCGTATTCCGTGTGTTAGATGGAAGCATTTCCTATTCAGTGTGAATAAAAAGAACAGTTGTAGTAAATTATTATAAAGCCAGTGATATCTCATGGCAGTTATTCTATCAAGCTGTGCTTGTTGGTTTTCCCATAACTGTATTGCTTTTATAATTGTACAAATAGTTACTGGAAGGACGAGACCCTTGTTTGCACAGCATTAGTAAGAACCTTGCTAGGAACGTGGTCCCCTCTCCTGACAACCAGCTCACAATTTCTTGCCTGGAGCTTGGTACACACTTCTTTTACCAAGGTAAACAGAGCTGGTGGATAAATAAATTCATAGTCTTGACTATCTGGTCATAGGTAATCTCACTATAAATTTCATTAGAATGAGCAGATATAATCTTGAATTATATATAAATTAAATTATAAACATGACATCAGATGGGGGAATCTATCAAGGAACTAGAAAAAACACATCATTATGAGAAAATAAGCAACAGTTTCAGCCCAAAGCCAATTCAATTTTTTTTAAAAAGTAATGTTGTGTAAAATGGGTTGAATTAGTTTGCAAACTATATAAAAACATATGCAGTAAAAACCTGGTGTGCACATCAGGTGAGAATGAAGTGTTCTGCCTTTTCTAGTTATCTGAGCTCAGCTATATTATCATACTTGGATAACCAATTTAAAAGAATTAGAATATGATTTTTAAATGCACTTAACATTAAACTCTTCTTCTAACTCTTTTTCTGTTATAATTCAGTTATGAATCTTCAGCACCTCTGAGTCATTGCTATAAAAAATTCAGTTATCACTGTGCTGTGCTATAGGAGACTGGGCTGAACCTGTACAATGACAAACCCTGGAAGTTGCTTTTTAAAAAAATAATAATAAATTTCTAAAATCAACTCTTACTGGTTGTGTGTTTGTTATAAAAATGAAGTGTAGATTATTCAGGCACTTAAATCCAGGTCATAATAAAATAGCTGTCCTTCAGTACATGAAATTATATTTCTCTAATTGTTTTATTCCCTTCCCTGAACACGTTGTTGTCTTGATTATTGTCACTTCTTTGTGATCAAGGAAACTTCACAAAATTATTTTTTTAACCCTTGTGTTATTGTCCTTATGAAGTCTTTTTTATAAAAAAGCCAAATTTTTGTTGCATGTATTTGTATTCTGTGTGTCAGATGGAAGCATTTCCTATCAAAGTTCAAAATAGTCTTTATTGCCAGTAATTCTTTTCAAGCTTAAAAAGTGATCCTTGCTAGGTAAAATAAAACGTAAAGACAGAGAAACACCAGCAAAAACTGTACTTTGTTATTTAGGTGTAAGTTTGTCCTCCAAAATAAAAGGATGGCTTTGATTCTCCTTACAAAGCAGAGTCCAGAGGTATGCAGGTCCCCAAAAAGCAGAGCAGCATAGAGATAAGGCACACTCTTCTATGTGTGCCTTAAAATATTTTTTCTGCATTTCTGACACCAGTCACTTTATTCTCTTGGTGGTTTCAATTCAGTGACCCTATAAATTTTTGTAGGTAGAAAAGTGTCTCTTACTAGTTCCTGAACACTAGCAAGAAAATACTGGAGATTGAACCCACAGCCTTTGCACTGAGTTACAACCCTTGCCTCTCTTTTTTTTTTTAATTTTTAAATTTTTAAATTTTTTAAAATTTGGGGCAATCTCACTAAATTACTAAGTTGCCAAGGCCGGGTTCAAACTCACAGTCCTCCTGCCTCAGACTCCCAGAGTGCTGGAATTACAAGCATGTACCACCATGTCCTTCTTGAATTTAATTTTTATAAGTCTTAATCAAACCTTGAATTCATCTTAATTAGAATAAACCATCTAAACAGAAAGTCATATAAAAAATTTTTCCTATTTTTCATTAATATTCACTTTAATAGTTTGAACACAGGCACATTTTTTAAATTACATCCTTAATACATGGCATTTGGTTAACTGGCTAGCAATTTGAAAAGAAGAAAGGAAAGTCAGAACCCTACCTTACTACTTACACCAAAATAAGTTCCAGCTAGATTTGATTTAAGTCTAACAAATAAAACCAGGAAAATACTAAAAGTAGAAAAATGTGTTCTGTGTGGTATACAGAATTTTATAATTCTACATGTTGCTTTCATGACCAATCAAGTTACAAGTGAAGTTATTTCAAATACCCTACGTAGTGCTCTAAAGCATTCAATGAAATAATCAGCAGTGAGATCATTTATCAGGTGTTGACTGTAAGCAAGAAGTTGAAATCCGCAATTGTCCATTCACTGAATGCTAACTTCTTCAGATATATCTGTGCTTGTTATCACTTTGGTATCAAATACTCAGACTAATCCTGCATCCGTATGCACACTGTAAATAAGATCAATGTCACAGCTACTAACCACTGGATGTCAGGGAGTACAGCTGTCATACGCAGCACAGATAGCTTTTCTAACTACAGTTGTACTTTGGTCGCTGGAAACAACCACCCCATCCTGAAGTTAGTTATCTCTAAATGCATTAGATGCCTTATACTTCTACTAGATGTAATTTTTGATTCCTCTTCTTTTCTCGTGCTGTTCCATTATTCACTAAGCTCTACAGATTTTTCTACTTAAATTGGGAAGTTTTATTTTAATTTTTGGAATTCAAAACTATAAAGCATTTCTTTTAATTACTTCTAAGTACCATTTCATGGTGAATTTACAGAGCAACATCTGCAGTTAACAAAATGTTGTCTGTCACTAAAGAATCCCAAGCAAAGTTCTGTTTAAAAAGATGTTCAGCTTCCTATGCACATTTAGGACTTCAGCTGTCATCTTTAGTTTGGAGTTGTTTATAAACATTAAAATGGACATAACTCATAAAAGGCATTTTCTCTTTCAGAATCAAGTAGTTCCAATTCCTTGTACTTCAAATTAAAAATATAAAAAATGTTAGTTCTATGATTGCAAAGTGTACAAGAAACATTTCTCTTTCTCCTAACGGAGAGAAGTCATAAGACAGGAAGCCTTTCCACCATCTATGACCAGCCCTTTACAGAAATGTGCACTCCCAAGCACAGCCGCACAAGGGTATCAGAGCCTCCCTTCACATCCTCCAAACTAGAAGTACTCTGATGTATACTTCAGTGAATGCCACCCCACCTTTGCAGGAGTCAGAACTCATGGGGTTGTTTTTTTGTTTTGTTTTTTGTGGGGTTTTTTTTTTGCTTTGTTTTATTCTTAACATAATTTACAGGACACATACAAATGCTATAAAAGAACAACTGTGAAATTAGTGATAATCTGCATATCTAATCCAGCTTTTATGGAGCTAAATATTACATCCACATCCAAAGAGTGATGCATAGACAAGCTGGGGCACAAGCATTCCCATACATGTGAAATTGCAGAAACGGGCTTCTGCCTGGGCTGGACCCTGTTCGGTTCCTCTTGTTCTAAATGGTGGAAAAGGTGATAGACCTCAAACCACACAGGTCTCATCTCCAAGGGAAGAGAAAGAAAAGGGAAGACAGGAAAGTGGAAAGTCCTGCTTGAGGCAGGAATAAGGAGGAAAAAAGGAAGGATTCTCCCATTGCCCACTACCTACTACTGCATAGAACAAACATTAGTGAAGAGCTCACTAGCAATTTCATGCACCCAATGCCTGTCACATGGTAACTGGCCAATGTTAACTGAGTGAATAAACAAATAAATGAAGACTTTGAGTGTTTCTGGATGTTCAAGCAAACCAGCAATGGACAAGGAAGCTAATATCTGGAACATACAAAAACCAGACAGTGCATAAGTCATTTTTACATTGCCTTTGATCAAATATTCGAAATGTGGACTTTCACTAGGCGATATGGAAAAAATTCCCCTGGAAATTCATTAACTTTGTCAACTTACTGGATTACTTTTCAATGCATATGCATTCTTCCACATTCTATGTCAGTTGAGGTCAACTGCATTCTGCTTTTGGCTAAGGAGAAAGATAAAACTAGATGCCAGGAACTTAGAGTAACTGCCAGAAGGAAAAACACCAGCACTGGCAGTCACCAGAAAAATCAACTCCAATTTGCCTTGTTTGTTTATCAAGTGTCCTGTCACAGGACCAGATCCCCAACCAGTCTATGAATGTGTAGGGCAAGACACAATGCTTGTGTCACAGCTCATTGTGGAGACAGCAAGAATCTAGAATCGTGACTCAAGCTCTGGTGATACCTATTATGCATCCATAAACAAAGCAGCTGCTTATTTGTAGATTCATGTCCTGATAGTTCACAAATGTCTGAAAGGGCTTTGTTCAGCCTGTGACAAGGAGGACTCCCCTCCTCTGCTTCTGAGCATATCTTCTCTTCAATTTAGTCATGGCCATGCTAATGTAGCTACCTTTTGCAGATTATACACACAGACTATGTTCATGTGGCTATATGTGCTAGACTACTTCTTTTAGACTACTAAAACCTTTTAGTTACTGGTTTTTATTTTTAAAAGAAAGTGTTTGGTTCTCAGAAAGCTTGAGGGGAGAATGCAGAATTCCCCATATACCCTTTCCCCTCTCGCTCTTCCCTGTTATTAGCATCTTCCATCCATGTAGTATGTTCATTGCGCTTGGTAAGTCATTGCTAACACATTGTTATTTAGTGAAGTTCACAGTTTATATTAGAGTTCATTCTCCCTGTTATCAAGGCCTGCTGAACACATGCATGTTTGACACACGTGCATGTACCCCAGTGTAACATAGTGTAGAAAACGTCAGAATCGTTCCACTGGCCTAAAAATTCCCTGTGCTTCCCCTATTCATCCCTCTCCCTCATTTTGGTCCTTAAGTGTGTTAGGATTTGGGGGAAAGACAGAAAATATGTACATAAACAGCTATATGTATATACATATATGCATGAGATTGGATTTGTTAAGGAATTGACTTACACAATTATGACAGCCAAAAAGCCCAAGGACAGGTTGCCTGCAGGCCGGAGACCATGGGATACTGTAGTGGGGCACAGATCAAGTGTGAAGACCTGAGAACCAGAAAAGCCAAGAGGAGTTCTGCTCTGAGGCCCTCTTCAAGGCTGAGCTGCTGGTACTGTCAGCCCCTGATGGTCTATAGTTGGACACTTCCTGAGACAGACAATCGCTTTGACAAGGTCACACCACCCCCTCTCCAGTGGTACAGCCCAAAACCAAAGACTGGCTGATGGGGAGCTACAAAAGCCCACTTGCTCGCCTCCATTTGGGATGACTCTGCAGGATTTTATATCTACTGGGCTCCTTGTGGGATCAGCTGCAGCCTTGGTTGCAGTGATATTCCAGATCTGCCTTCTTGCAGAGTTTACTTCACAACAAACTTTCCAAAGAATTCAATCTAATTCATATGTCCTACTATTTAGAAGAAAACTAGAGATAGACAGTGAAGATCTCCAGTGGACTTGCTTTGAAATCTGTATTTCTTTAAATTGTTTCTTTTTGAACTGTTTTGTTCTGTTTTAATATGTTTAATCTTACCCTCTTTAAGATAAAAAACAAATGTGTAGGACTGATAACCATATTACTACGTTTTTGTTGGATCATTGAGCAGAACTGTTGGCAGTGTCACTATTTGAGTGTCACTTTACATACTTTAATTTTGTAACCAGAACAACTATTTCTAAGATAACAATATGTAACTTATCGTCTGGTGATTTCTTACTGTTTATTTTTCTGTAATTCTGTATTATTTATACCCTTTTTTTGCCATCTTTTTTTCTTTCTTTTTAAATAAAAAGGTGTAAAAAATAAAAATTCATATGTCCTTAATATGGAAAAATATTTGTAATGACTTTACAGATCATTTATACTGACAGCATGTAACCACTCTCCAACATTTGTTAATGTCTATGTGGCATGAACTGTCCCTGGCTCTTAAATTTTATTATTTTACTTAATCTGCC